GTCCATGAAGAGATGAACAATCTTTCAATTGCCATCGCACTAACACATTAAAAAATTCAAACAAGAAACTAAAAAAATGTGAAGCATTTGCAGATTAAAAAAGAAAAAAGAAAAAAAAGAAACGCGCGGCTATGAGAGAAGCCAGCCATTCAAAGGATTAGGGAAAGGGAATGTTCCGAGATGGTGTCGTCGCATTCACTGAATATTAAACGCACACACAAATACTCAGCTCACACGTGTCTTTTCAAATTCACGACCTATTTAAACCCCCCAATATCCCCCATTCCTACCGCCAATCCATTTCATTTCATCATCAACAACAGAAACAACCATATATACTTTTCTCTCACTCCTCTCTTTTTATAACTCTCCCATCTTCACCATCAAATTCTCTCTCTAAGTTCCATTAAAGTGCAAATATGGCGGCACTATCCACACTTCCCATGCTCAACATTGACTCAAACTACGAAGCTGACAAGCTCACCTACGAGATCTTCTCAATCCTGGAGAACAAATTCCTCTTCGGTTATGATAACCACAAAGCTAACCATAACCCGAAACTCTCAACTCCGGCGCAGAACGGGAAGGTCAGAATCCTCAGCATCGACGGTGGCGGCACCACCGGGGGAATTCTCGCCGCCGCCGCACTCCGCCGTCTCGAGTCCTCCCTCCGCAGCAAGTCCGGTAACCCTAACGCCGGCATCGCCGACTACTTCGATGTCGTAGCTGGCTCCGGCGCCGGCGGCGTCCTCGCCGCTCTCCTCTTCACCCGCGGGAGAGACGGCGGGCCGATGTTCACCGCTGAGGAGGCTCTCAATTTCATGGTCAAGAATCGCCGGAAGATCTCTGCCGGCAAATCGCCGGCGGGAATTTTCCGTCGAGTTTTTGGATCGGAGCAGAAGGCTGAGAAAATGTTTGGGAAAGTGTTCGGGGAATGTACTCTTAAGGACACGTTGAAGGCGGTGCTGATTCCCTGCTACGACCTCTCTTCCCGCGCGCCATTTTTGTTTTCCCGGGCCGACGCGGTCGAGAT